GAGAGAGTATTGTTTCCTTCATTTCTGCCTTTATGTGTGGACGGGATTATTTTTTAAAACGAAAACGGAAAATCTCCGTTTTCAAAAATACCCGTGTACGTGTGGACGTAGCCTCAGTCTCTGACTGGAAGCGCTAATTCGTCATTCGGCTTTTGTCAGACTAAAGTAACTGTTAAAACTGTTTGAAAAGCTCAGCTATACAACAAGGAGAGATTGAGAATTTCCTTTTAGTTCTCAGTTTATTTGATATTGACAAAAGTTAGTCAGTTTTGTCTGTTCTTCTGTAAAACAAACTAAGATTTATTTTTAGAATTAATATTTTGTTTCTAAGTGGAATTGACAGTTTAGTCTGTTTCGTTTGTTCTATTTTGAAACTTAAACGCTTTAGCGGCTGCCTTTTGTGTAGTTTGCAATATTTGCCTTTATTTATCTGAAAAAGTCTCATGTTCCTTAAGTACATCTACCCTGTTGAACTTATTATGGGAAATAAATATTTAAATAAAAACAAGCTGCTGATTATTTCACATTTTACTTGTGAGCAACGGCACATTTAAATCTTACAAATATAGTTATTTGGCTTATATCGTGATAGATATCGTTATCGCCTGAAATGTAAAAAACATATCGTGATATGAAAAAATCTCATATCGCCCAGCTCTAATATATAGAGTATGTAGCTAAATATAGCTAATAAAAAAGACAACAAACTGACTGTTGATGGCTTTGATGACAGCAGCGATCCACTTGAACCTTGAGGAAAATGCTGGGGAAGCAAGCAGACAGAAATTTACATTAGTGTTGTAATTACTCGCATGTATCACAGAAACAGCTGTGATGCCTTCACATTTTAAACTGCTGTCACATGTCTGCTTGCACTGCTGGGTCACGTCCTCTGATAGCCACTCAGATTCTAAACGTTTTCTTTTACGCTCTCTCCGAAAAAGCCTATTTGCAACACGCAGTGAAGAGAAAACGAAATCCAACAAAGATACGAGAAATACTTACTGGCTAAAAAGCGCCAAATCCGAGACAGCCACTTAAACAAGGTCTGGATTACTGAGACACGAGACATGGAGTGGAAAAAGTCAGCTCCTGTTTAACAGATTTTGTTTTAAATGGTAAAATGGGGGATGTGCTTTATACCTCGGAGGGTTCCCACAAGCCGACTTATCCACCCCCAAAGAGCTGACAGACCTGAAGGGAAAAGAAATAATCAGTGTGCATGAATTAACTCAGTTTCATTTTGCTGGTTTTGTCCTGAAACTTGGAAGTCAAAGTCATGTATTAACTTAGATAAACTCACCAGTTAAAGAACAAAAGAGACGAATCGGCCATCGAATCAGAGCTGGGAGAGCTGCAGGGAAGTGTGGCTAGAATGAGTATCGCAGAGTGTGATAATAATAGTGTGACAATAATTTTCTATAATGAACATGGATTTATTCATATGCCATAACTGTAGGATCCATACTGCCCTCTTTTATTTGTTTCTTTTGGATTTACTATAATCAAACTCTACATTCAATCAGCTGATACAGGACAAAAGACACACTGTAGACATGAGCAAGAGATGAATAGTGACTAATAATGAAATGCTGAGTGGTGTATGAACACACAGAGAGAAAACACCTGATTAAAGCCGAAATACTCATTGAATCAAGGGAAGTCTGCAGCATCCTAAGCATCTTGCTGCATAACTAAGAGATGATTCAGTGTATCTTTTGTCCTGTCTCCCTCTCTGAGCCTGGTTCTGATGGAGGTTGCTTCCTGTTAAAAGGGAGTTTTTCTTCCCCGATGTTGCCAAATGCTCGCTCATAAGGGGTTGTTCTGATTGTTGAGGTTTTCTCCATTATTGTCAGAAAATGCCTGAGATTACTGTTGTGATTTGGTGATATATAAATAAAACTGAGTTGAGTTGAATTTAACTGAATTGAATTAAATTGAACGGGGCCTGATTATTTATGATCTTCATGCGAAGAGAAGGATTTTAAATTCGATTATGCATTTAACTGGCAGCCAGTAAAGAGAAGCCAGTATAGGAGAAATACGCTCTCTCTTTCTAGTCTCTGTCCCATTTTGAATCATTTAAGTGTTCAGATGACAGGTTATTGATTCGGTTTAAAGATTTAGACTAGTGTGTCGTATGTTTGCGGTATGTTACTCGCAATTACTCCCTCCACCCCCCTTATCTCCTGTCTTTCGATAACTTGGCTCTCACACCCTGTCAGGTCTGGCATGACAACCACTCAGATAATAATGTGAGATCTAAAATAAAAGATATAAAAAATAAATAAATAAAAGAAAACAGCTAACAAGAGGAGCCTATAGACTGTCTACAGCAGCGGTCCCCAACCCCCGGGCCTCGGACCTGGTACCGGTCCGTGAGTCGTTTGGTACCGGGCCGCGAGAGTTGAGGCTCAGGTGTGAAATGTATGGTTTTCAGGGTTTTTATCGGTTTTCAGCGTTATTTTGTTATCGTTTTTATCGTTTACTCGGTTTTCCTGGGTCTTTTCACGTGTGTTATGAATAAATCTTCTTTTTTTCGGTACCAGTACTAGTTTTATTTTGTTGTATTTATCCGGACACCTTAAAGGCCGGTCCGTGAAAATATTGTCGGGCATAAACCGGTCCGTGGCGCAAAAAAGGTTGGGGACCGCTGGTCTACAGCACTCCTCTTGGCAATGCAAATGTGTTTGGCACAACAAAGCAGACCATGATTCTGTTTGCTAAAAGTGCTGGACAGGAGAAGTTTAAAAGAAAAAGGAATGGAAAAAAAGACTAGTAAGATTTAAAAACATCTGTTTACTACCTGAAAATAATTCCCTATTACAGATTCATTATTTATTTTCTAGACTCAGTAAAAGTCATTAAACAGTACAAGTGTGGGTGTTGCTCTGTGACTGACTCTGTGAGAACCTGTAGAGAAGATACCCCACCACGGTAAAAAGTCCCATCTGGACACTGTTGGTGTTCATCCACCAGCCTATCAAGAAGAAGGCAGGGAGGCAAACATGACATTAGCGGTGCAGAGCTGTTCACAACTTAGCATCAGTTTAGCCTTTCACCCACATTTAGAAAAAAAAATAGAAATGAAATCCCCTGAAGGATCCCAAGAAAGCTGTGTCACATGGTTTTTTATTGTTTACACTTATTTTTAAGACTTAACTACAATCCCTGAACTCAACACTTTACATGTAACATACATTTTGCAGAAATAAAGATGCATCATCAGAATATACTAAAAAAAAAAGACAATAAATTAAAAAAAAAAAAAAATTCAATATCATATTTTTTGTGTGTAAATTTTTTTTTTTTTTTATGTATATTTTGCCTACCTGCATCCACAGGGGTGTCTTTCTCACACTGACACTCCATGTCTCAGCAGATGGGAACACTGTAGTTGGTGTGAAGGTAAGAAGAACAGGCAGCACCACTTCTGCTCAGAGCTAACACAGGTTAAACAAACTGCTTGAAAAACGCTACAATGTTTATGTAATTTTCCTAAGTGTTCAGTTATAAGGAAGGAATAAAAACTCATCTGATATAAAAGCAAAGGGTTCTGATTAATAGGTGTCTAGACTACAAGACAGAGCTGAAAAACCAAACATAACATAATGTTGTTAAGTCCTTTTTGAACTTTATCGACAGCAAAATGCTCATGAAGAGCTTTTACCTGATGTGTAGCCAGATAATCGCCCTCCAAGAGTGACATCAGCTTTCAGACTGTCAGTACAACTCACATGAGGTTTAAACTCTAATTTCTTCTTCCTGCTTTTGCGCAGGCCTGCCCTCCTCAGGAACAGTACTTCCTTTTTGTTATGCAGCAAAACAAATCAATGACGAGGCCCAGGAATGCTGATCATGCAGTTTGACCTGGGACACACCTTTTTTTGTGCAACATGAACTAGAAATGCAGCTTAAGGTGAACTAACCTGTGTGATTATGTAAATAAAAGGAATCAGGTGAGTAGTATAAAACAGTTTATTAATGCAAATGCAGCGCCATCAAGTGTCACCACTAGTTACAGTATTTATAAGATCAGTGTATTCCAATGCTTCTAGACTTCTTTATCATTTCAAACACCACTGGAGTGAGTGCTTGATCACAACAGAATGACAGTTTTTTTTTAAACATTCAAACAGTATTTATACATAATGGGGCTGTCACGCTATTCTTATCTAATCAAGCCCAACAGGAAAAAACAGCGTCTGGTCCATGTGAGGGCCGTGTAGCGAGTTTAAAACAAGCACAGGAACCATACATGATGACTGCTCAAACAGATTCAAAAGTTAACCAGAACTTTGTGCAAAGCTGTTGTGGATTAAGTCTGGTGTGGACTCCTCATGAGCCTAAACGGGCAATCAAAGCATCTATCAGCTCCTGCTTCTTGGTCCCAGTGGTTCGAACCCCAAATTGCTTACAGGCGTCCTTTAGAACGGGCACAGTCAGCTTTGCCAGAGTGCCGTTCTGCACGTGGGCCTTCAACTCATCTTCTGTCAGCTCTACTTTGGGCTTCTTCTCAGCTCCACCTCCAGTATCAGCTGCGAGTTCATGGAGTAAAAGAATAATCAGATTTATCAAATCACAGAATTCCCAAACTACTGAATGATGCAAGTTATTAATAAGTCAATCCGACTACCTGGAAACATTTTGCTTGGGATGTAATTCACAACACATACTAGCACATAACTTTACGTAGTTTCACTGATGGTTCATGCTCTGACCTGTTTTGCGTTTGGCAGCTGGCTTGCTCTCTGGATTGTAGTAGGCAGGGTAGACCAGATCTTTGAACTCCTGGACCAGAGGACCCAGACGCTGGTCTATTTGGTCAACCTTTGGCACTGAGGAAGAGAAAGAGCGCGATGAGCAGAATTACTCTAGCAGCCACAAAAGGAAACTGGGATCTGTGTTTAGGTCTGCATCTTACTGATGAGATCCTCAATTTCCTCTGGAGCCATCATATCCAGAGCCAAGGCCTCCAGGTTCCTAAAATGCTGCTGGATGACTGGGTTCTCAAAACCTTCACTCCTACATGACATTACAGAGTGTGAAAATAATATTAGTGGTTACGCAAAAAACAAAAAAAGGAAATGCATGACTCTGCTATAAACCAGAGTACTTCTTGTTGTTAGTTTTATGAAATTTGATATAACTCCTCAGTTTTCCTGTTTAAAAAAAAAAAAAAAAAAGGGGGCTCTAGAGTTACCTGTATTTGAACCTGAGTTTGGAGACAATCTCTTTCATCTTGTCCACCTGTGTTTGTGAGGCCGAGGGAAACTGCGGAGGGTCCAGAGTCCGCAAATCATCGGCGTATGGCAGGTAGATGACGTTGAAACCTGGTAAAGTCATGAGCAGACAAGACGCGTCACGCTGCAGTCAATTACACACAACTAAGTTCAAATGTTTAAGTAATATTTATGTATTTGCGAGTTCTCTGTATTACTGTCAAATTTAGTTATTTTTGCTAAAAGCTGTAAAGACGCTGAAGTTGCACTTAAAGAAGCTAAAATAATTAAATGTAATTAGCCATCTTGACCCCAGCACCACATTACCTGGTGGTGTAATCTGTACTTTCCCCTCGTCGAGCTCCTCATTCTGAGGCAATAGGGCAACAAACCGAGGTGGATAGTTTCTGCGGGAGATGAAACGGCACAGAGCGAACACGTTCCTCTCGCTGCACTTCTTCAGCAAGGCGGAGAACAGACATGAACTGCCTTGAGTAAAAATAAATAAAAATCACAGGATATCTGATTCAGTATCAATGAGATCCACATTTACTATGACTGAACAGACAATTTTTATAGCTGCTTACAATTTAATTAAAGCTTTTACTTTAAACCCATCATCAATTCTATTTTATCAAATGCTTCTCAAATTCAGGGGAGCCTAAGCATAACTCAGCTTTAACTCAGCGTTCTTGGAACAAAGAGTCTTTGCATGCAGGGTGTAGATGAGTGAAACTTAAGTTAAGTTGACTATGACCTTTATTTGAAAAAATATTTAGAAATATCCAGAGTCAACACTGTGGTTTTATTCTTCCTTCCTAGAATTAAATCAGACTGCACACACAGTTCTACCTTTCACCTCATCCTCCTCAGGATAGAGGAAGACAGCAGGCCGGATATGGTGAAGCAGTTTGAGCTTTTCCATCGGTTTGAATCCAATCAGAAACAATCCAGGGTCATCAAACTTCTTAATGGCATCCACCTCGTCCCTCTCCATCACAATCTCTTTACCACCATAATACTACACAACACACACACACAGATAAAGTGGAGTTTTCATGTGTAAGTTAAATCTTAAAAAAATAAAAAGCACTCAAATAATGGAATAAACATAGCACTGCTTTCGATTGGGATCACGAGATTTTCATTACCTGGGCTTTCTTTATCTCACTGGGCAGCAGCAGACTGCCAGTTTGGGTGTGGAAGGTTCGAGTTTTGCTGCGGACTGGCTCGTTGGTTTCCCTGTAAAGTTTGATGGAACCTGGTTTGCGAGCTGCCACAGCAGTTGCATAAATTCCCACGGCTACATTTATGCCCTCCCCGAGGCACAGGTTTAACCTAAAGACAGCAGAAAGAATAGATAGTGTAAAAAAACAGCCAAGAGGAAAAGGTAAATAAATACGCTATGGAGACAAAGAAAGCCATTGCTTGCCTTGCCAAGGTTCTTTTCTTCAGCTCTTTGGCCCGCACCCGTTTCTGGAGGTCCTCCAGCTTGTCAGAAGGCTGCAGCTGCAGCCCCATCTCACTCTCATCCTCTGGTGGACTTACAATGTCACAAAAGAAGAGCGAGATGTTGAAGCCCCCCGGTTTCATCAGGTGCATTAAATCAATAACGACGCCTAAAAGAAGAGGGTCGAGGGAAGACAGCCCACATACACAATTACCAATGATAACAAATCATCACACTTCAGTAAAATAATGTGAACTTGCAGAATTAGCAGAAGATAGAAACCCGAAAGGCTGGTAAAGTTAATCAATTATAAAAGCAGAGCGGCAGTGATAAAATTTACAGTTAAAAGGGCTTGCGTGAATAGCTTCTTTTAGACCCACCAGTCTCCTTGAGATCACTGGCCTTGGTACGAGCCTGTCGATCTTTCACGCTGTCGCCTCCGTGTGGTTCATCCCTGCACGTGAAAATCATAAGCCGCTTGTGGGAGAGGCGGAGCTTGATGTCACTGTAGAGGTTGGCACAGCACCACAGAGCATCTCCTAATGATGTCTCTCCACTGCCTATGGTCTCTGCCGCCAGCTTGGCACCTTTTTCCCCCCGCAGAGCATCCACCTCCTGGACTCGCTTTGCACCTGTCCAAAGCAAGAGACAGACAAGGGTATAAGAAAGATATGTTCAGCAGTTTACAAACTACTGAGGAAGTATGAGCCAATATTGACTGCAGCTTTGCTCTGCTCTTTTTAAGTTTTGGTCTAAAATAAAGAAAAAAAAAAAGAGGAAAAAGAACTGCAGATAAGAAGATTGCCTACATTTGTGCTTGAAACAAAACAATAACAAAATAAAGTGTAATTATGCGTTTGTTTGAAAGAGCTGCAATCATACCAGGCTCATTGAGATCGTGGTACACATAGACATGCTTAAATGAGTTTCTGGGGTTCTTGCTCTGCTCTGTGCCGTAGAAAACCAGAGCCACCAGGTCCCTGTCGCTACTGATGATCTTGCTGGTGTACACAGTGCGCACAACCTACAAGAGCAGCACACAAACCATCATTGTTACAAGGTTGCTATATGAAGCAGAGCGAAATAACTACTATAAAATTAAAACTAGCAAAAGAAAAAGATAACCAGCCATCTCACCTGCATGGTCATATCAAAGTTGGAGGGTTCCCCGTCTTCCCCTTTGATGAACATCTCCTTGGAGGCATCAACCAAGAACACCAAGCTGTCTCTCCCTGTAATTTTGTAGTCTCCTATTGAAGATGGAGACCTGGTTTATTCTGTTGTCACTTCAATATCACTTTTTGTATCAATGCTACATGCCAACATTTTACTTGTGCTGAAGTAGATTTTAATAACTAAAATGTGATAATAAAATGTGATAACAGCAAAAGTATCATTTAAGAAATCCTGAGCCACCCCTCAATTCTTGACTTTTTGCCAGGTGCAGCATTTATTGAAACATGTGCAAAGATACAAGGAAATACAGTATATAAGGCAAGTATTCTCACAAAGGTCAGTTTATACTATTTTACAAACTTGAAAGTCAATATTTGGTATGCCAACTTTTATTCATCAACACAACCCTAACTCTCTAAGGTAAGTTTCTTGTCATTTCATTAAGTAGTCTTTAGGAGTAGTTCTCCAGGCTTCTTGAAGAACATTCAAACTTCCTGACTGTGACAGGAAGATGGCGCATTTGCTCGGCTTGACTTCTACCTGCCTACGTTGTATTATATTTTATGCTCTTATATCAGCCCTGACGTTTAATATATGGAGCTATGCCGCTGTGATTTACGACCGTTCTTCCATATTGATGATGCCTCACCTAACTCTGCAGCTGAACTTTTATTGTTAGTTGCCTTTCTACACCTGAATGATTTATAAGTCAGTGTTAAGTGAATTAAGAATTAAAAGCATTCCTCTGAAAATTGCCAGGTTCAAGAACTGGAGTTAATAAAGGGGGGAAAGCAGCCAATGTTTAAAGAAAAACTTTGAAAGACCTTCATAAAACCTGGAAAGCTATTACACAAAACACAACAAAGTGGGGCTCTTAGGAAGCTAAATATAAACAAATAAGTGGTGGCTCAAGACTTTTGCACAGCGGTGTAAATAAGCGTTGAGTAGCGGTTTTTCCTTTTACCCCCTGACTGCTCCCCTTCTTCTTGCTCTCCCTCCTCATCCTCGTTTTGGTAGTAGGCGTTCCACTCTGCCATTGGTGCTGCCTTCAGTCCCGTCTCAGGATTTACTGTGAAAACCAAGGATAAAAGACTGCCGCATTTACAACACTAGATTCAAACAAAGTACCAATGGCAGAAGGCTTTTCTGTGGCGTATTTAAAAAGTGCATCCTATGTACTCCTACAAATAAACATATGGTGCAACTTTCACCAGATAATAATCATTATGCACACGACAAGGTATTTCAAAACAGTTTTAATGTCTCGTTAACGCATTACTAATGTTTAATTAACTATGTTTTTAACTTTAGCTAGCAAATTTTAGCTAGCTTAGCTTGTACTTAGCCACTTTTCGTGCCATTTCCATTTAGGAGCACACTATGTAACAATGTTATGGGTCTAATGAGGCACGAAAATTGATAGCCTAAACTTACAACATAAATGAAATACATACACAGTTTTCGTCAGAGAATTCCGTCACTTACCGTGTGCTTCTCCTTTCTGCACACAAGTCCAGGCTAGTTTCAATCACTGGCGCGTTCAGATACGTGAACAAGCACGGTTCAAACGCCTACTGGATGTCTTATCGTCTATTGGCAGTTTATCTGCCAATCTAAGGTATTGGCCAATCCCGTTTAAAAACGCGGGGTTTATTTACCCTAAAGCCGGAAGCCTGCTGTTCACGTGATAGGACAGTAGCGTTATCGTTGATAGACAGTGACACAGCACTGGAATTGACTCCCGGCAACTTCGAGCTAGGTTTTACATTTACTTTTTTATTTTACAGTTATTACTAGCATTTTAAACAGCCTGTAGCCTGAATTTATTCTTTCTCACAGTTCCACCACCAGAAGGTTTATTAAACTTTTCTTTGCCACCGGGAAGCTAGCTAGCTGGGAACTCTGTAGTGACTAAGTAACTTTCTAAAAGGTTAGCTGCATTGTCGTTTCGAATAAATCGTTTTGCGTTATCATGGACCAAACTGATTCTTATCCAGTAAAACTTTACGTTTATGACCTGTCCAGAGGGATGGCCCGTCAGCTGAGTGCTTCCATGCTGGGTGAGTTTCTGACAAACTCTGTCATGACTCAGTGGGATGCTTCGGAAGTGAAAGTTGTTGTTTTCTAAGGGCGGAAAAAGTTGATCGTAATTTAAATTATTTTATCTTTACAGGGAGACATATTGATGGTATATGGTGAGTTTACATGAAGAAAGTTTTATAAAAAAGTATTCTCACTGAGCACCTGAGCTGCAGTTAAGTATTTAATACCACTGTTTAAAAAAACCAAAAAAACAAATGCATTGGCGTCTAACAGGCACACGGGTGTTGTGGTCCACGGGAAAGAGCACTACTTTGGTGGATCAACAGGCATCACCAATTGTCCACCTGTAAGAATCAGCACCATCCTCTCATATAAACAGTGCACTTTAAAGCCGTTTGATCTAGACACAAAATCAAGAAACTTGTGTCAGTCTCAGTGACAAGTCACTGAAGTGTGCATCTGTTTGTCTCCTAGGGAGGCACCTTGTTGGGGCCGCCTGATTCTGTAGTAGATATGGGCTCCACTGAAGTGCCTGAAGACCTTTTTAAGGAGTATTTAACTTCACTGGGAGAGTCCAAGTACAGGTAAAAGAAGATGATGAGATCTTTATTATTATAATTGTTATTATTGTTGTTGTTGTTTTTTTGGAAAAATACAACTGAACCAAACAGTTACAAATGATTTGTTTTTAAGTAGCACCAGTAGAATTAAGTGCATAGCTTGAATGCACAGAACAAGGCTCATGCGTTACTGCCCTGTTTGAGTCTAAATAATAGTTTTAGGAATGAGCTAAAATGTACATATAGTGTTCTTCCCCCTCATTATTTTGCATTTAAAATGTTTCTGTCTCATCACTTCCTGCTACTCACCTGCTTTTCTCCACCCTGTGGTGCACCTCTCTCTCCCTCTCTCTGCGCTTTGAACTCCTCCTTCTTCCCTCCTCTGACTTCCTCCTTCATTTGTTGCAGAGGTGCCAATTACAACTTGTTTGAGAACAACTGCAACACTTTCAGCAGTGAAGTGGCTCAATTCCTGACAGGCAGAAAGATCCCATCGTACATCACAGACCTTCCATCTGACATCCTCGCCACGTAAGCTTCTTAATTCTGTGCAGTCAAATTGAGTCTCTGCTGATACTGATGGCAAAATACTAAAAATGCATAATAATATCAATTATATTATAGATAATAAATATAAATGGAAAAATGCATTTGAAATTATATGCACCCTGAATGTTGTATTAAATACACCATTACAATATGAATGTACAGTTGTCAAAAATTAGAGACCTGGGTTGAGAAACACTCAAAACACTGAGAATGAGAAAACTATTTTTACACTGCCCAAAATAAACTACTAATTTTGGTCAGCTATGATCACTTTCAGACATTTATTGGCCTTTTCACACGTAGAACTTTCAGCTCCACTTATTAAAGATTTAAGTGAGTGATTTAATTTTGACCCGGTGTCGTTTGTAGAAAAATCCGAAATAAATGGAAACTTAAGTGCCCAATTCTTGTTATTTAAAGACATTGAAGATGTATGCTGTACAATCATTTCATCCTGCGTCTCTTTTGAACGATTACTTTTGTGGTATTAAGTGTTTGCTGTTCTTGTATGATATAACTGACTAATACTTTGGTTTGTAATGTAACTGTACTCTCTGCTGTATTTCCTCACAGACCATTTGGCCAGGCTCTCCGTCCCTTCCTGGATTCCATGGTCATAAATCCTGGAGGCAACAACCTGGCTGGGCAATGATAGACCGAGTCGTGGATTTTAGAAAATAACTGATAACATCCCTGCATGTGGCTGGCAAGTCACTTCTATATTTAATCAGCCATCACTTATTGTTATTGACTTTTATGGTGTTATTCAACATACTCTGAGGTGTATGCGAGGGGTGAAGGTGTGCTAAACTCTGTGGACAGGGGACTAAAAATGGGTCTTATACTTGTTTGTGTACATTAACGTGTTTAAGATTACGTTTTCTTGGGTCAGCAGTAGTGGTGCAACGGATCAAAAATCTCACTGTTCGGATCGGATCACAGTTTTAAGTCACGGATCGGATCAATTTTCGGATCGGCGAAAAAAGACAAAAATTTAACATTTACTTATTGAAGTATTTTTTGCCTGTTAAAAACATTCAACTCAAGACTCATTCCATGCAATTATTAAAAATATATATATATTGGTACAATATAGGGCAGTATAGGGCTTTGTATCTACCACTCAATTCAATTCATTTCAATTGTATTTATAAAGCGCCACATCACAACAACAGTTGTCTCAAGGCGCTTTATATTGTAAGGTAGACCCTACAATAATACATACCGCTCATTATATCGCACTCCGCTGTGATATAATGAGCTGTCACGGTCACGTAGCTTTCCGTTGCCCTGGAGCTCCACCCATTTGTAGTAGTTAGGGCAACAGAAGATGCCTGGGACAGTTCAGCCGTAACTTTAAACTTTTCCTGCTCATACATGCTTGGAACGATCTTGCCACTAAAGTTGACGTGAACGGGATATCATAGCGTGGCTCAAGCACGTTGATCATAGTTTAAACCCCTTGTTTTGCACAACGGAATACGGCCTCCCGTCTGCAGCTAAACACCCCAGTAGCTTTTGTAATAGCTTTAGCCCGGTCGGACTGGGCAGCAAAGGGCTGCTTAAATATCGCAAACTCCTCTGCTCCTCCACTTGGACCGCTATCGCTGGCCATAACCATCGCTGGCCATAACCATCGCTGGCCATAACCATCGCTGGCCATAACCATCGCTGGCCATAACCATCGCTGGCCATAACTATCGCTTGACAGACCCACCACGCGCACCATACACATACTTTTTTTTTTTTAATTTTTTTTTTTTTCTTCGAATCTTTGGATCACGTCCGTGCTGAACCGTGGAGTGGGATTGGTTCGGATTACGGATCAACCGTGATCCGTTGCACCACTAGTCAGCAGGATCACTATACATGCATATCCTCTGGATTAGTATTCAAAGTTGTCATTTTAGAGGCAGGATTCATCCTCTCATGCACTGCTACTTACGAGAGGCGTTTTCAACAGGTATTGTCATCCTCTCACAAGGTGCTCCATTATGTCTCTCTATCATTGTGGCAGTCTGTCACAAAGTTTATTATAGTTAGATGACTGCTCAAAAAAATCGAATGATGAAGAATCCATGAATCGTACTATCATCACATAACCAGCACTGGCCTTGTCTTCCAATCTTTCTGTTTTAATGTGTCTAAAGGATGTCTCAGTTTTAATCATTCACACAGATAATGATAATTTGTAATACTTTTCATGGACAGCAGATCTTTTTGTGTCTTTCTCCAGAGATCTTGTGAGGCAGAGAGATGGCATGTAAGGACTCCCAAGTTAAAATCTGACATTTATGGATTTAAAGGAAACCTTTTCTTTGATATTTATCTATATGTGAAGTTTTTATAGTGACTTTTAAAAATAAAATTAGTTTAGGAACTACTCAAATAAGTGCCTAGTGGCATTTAAAGATCACTGGCAAGGCTTATACTTCTTGCTCTAAGACTTTATTACAAAAAATATTCATGTTGAAAATGGTGGTGTAAAGACTCTGATTGTGTTACGCTGGTAACAAATTGCTAGATGTGTATCAAAATGCACAAAGTGCCAGGATGTAACAGGATACTTTAAGTTCAGTTGTTTTGGCAGAAATCCAAATCTGAATTTGAGTCCAATGCCAAAAATGAGGTATTTGTTCCTTAGTCTATTGTCACATTTCGGTCAGTTTGTTTATTTAACGTGCCATGCTGTGTTCTGCCTTTTCTTCAGTGTGGGTGTGAAATCGTTTCCACTTTTTCTGTCAGTCATCCCAATAATGTAAAAGCTACTAACTTGAATTTCATGGAACTTGGTGGAGAGGGAGAAAAAATGTAATCTGGTGCCTTAATTCTTTTTATTTGTTTGTTTTTACCGTTTGTATTCCTGTAGTTATTAGAACAGGATGCATTTCAAGGCCAGCTCAGTTAAACCCGTTCTGCCGGCTCGTCAGGCTTTAAAAGTATCGTTTGACCAAAGTTTTATCTTCAGAATGCCACGTCCAGGAACATCTGATGAACACAGGGAATTATATATTTTTAAATTCAGGACCACTCAGCTTTACAGCTTTCATTTGCTTTGTCGGGTTTAGAGTTTTCTCAGTTTATAAAGACGCACTGTTTCATATACACTATGCATATTTGACTGTTTATATTTGCATGATTAAACCAGGCATAGGAAAACTATGCGTATCAACCACTTACCTCCATCACTGTTTTGGCAAACTGTGTTTAATTGTTGTGTTTGGGACATGCTTACTCTAAATATTGTTTAACCTGTTGCTCCTTCACCATCCTGATCCTGCGTAGATCATTAATGCACAAGTCTCAAAAAGGCCATCGTTTTGCTTGTATTCAAATATAAATAGGTCTTTAGTTTATTCAGATTGTGAATCTAAAATCACTGAATTGAACCTGAATTTGTTGAGGGGGAAAATGTACTTTAAAAAAAAAGATGTTTGCTTACAAGCAGAGGGTCACACGTGGTTTAGACAAATGTTTGTCTTAAAATGATTAATATATACGTTCGTCTGACATCTAAACCATCATCGGTGGTATCCTGGGCTGTTTAAACTGGGGTGATCATTGATGATGATCTAGACCTCACAAGGCAAATGTTTAACTCTGCACTTTATTAAATGTGTGACATTTTCAAATACTATCTTCCATTAAAATTGTTATTCTCTGAAGACTTTTCTGTTGACTTCTTTATTAAAATGTTTTCTCTTCAGTTCTATAGTATTCATCAAGCATCTTAAGCCACTTCCAAATTCTTCATGTTTTGCTTCTTTTGTGTTAAAGAATAAAGGCGTTTATACCAAGTACTAACTTTCAAATCTCGGTAAAATTGTACAAACACAGTTTTTCTGCACCTATTTCCATTTTCCTGGCAAAATATAAAGGAAAGAGAGGCAGCGCCAGACTTTTGCACTGTATGTCATTAGTAGCAATCGGTGATTTGCTTCAGAAATCAAGTTTCCAGGACTCAAAACTGCTACTGCTCTGGTTCCATGTAATATAAAGAGCAGCCACAAGGTGGCACTACAGGATCAGTCCTGCAGCATCAGCTGTATTTGTCAGTCAGGCAGGTCGACTATTAAATGTTTTTAAATGACCAAATATTTGTGTGAGTGACGCTGCTTCAAATATTCAGCATGTACTGAACCTGCTGCCTCTGAAGTAAACACATTTTACTCCAGCTGCTCCAAGAAAAAGTTTCCAGAAAGTTCACTAAATGAATATTTGTCTGATGAAATGAGAGCTGCCAATTTATCAGTGGTCTGAAGTGGTATGCCCACGAGGATCAGAAGTCTAATATTAATTTCATATGAAAACCAATCAAACCAAACTCAAATTTTTCTTTAATATCAATATTTAATAGTTCATCATTAAAAGTGTCTTCTAAACAGTCTGTTAGAAACAACATCTCTAGAATATTTTGGGTATAAAGTAGCTGTTCTGTTGTAGTAAGTATGGATACATACAGCATAAACACTACATACTGTATTTCTCTCCAATACACTCTGACTTCATCTGTATCTATTATATTTTATTACTTGCAGTAACTGAGGGAGCCAAAGTGGTGTAAACTCGGCAGTCTTTACCCAGCAAAAAATAATTCTTCCAGTTTTAAACATGCGGACAAATGTTCCAAAGCACATCTAGTTCCTTCTCACCACTTCTGGCCATATAGACCTCACCAGTGGCTTAGACAGAGGTACTGCAGTTCATTTGTGCCACTGTATTTTGCCACTTATGTGAAAAGGCCTGTCTATTGCCCAACTCTGCCAACATAAAGTCAAATATTCTGTTAAAACCTGACAGCAGTAATGCTACTACTAATAATAAATACTCTCTGTTCATACAGCCCTTATATAAATAAAATATATAGGAAATCCAGTAAATAAAAATATTTACACAATAGTCATAAATGATTCCCAGATGGTGGTTGCACTACATGAAACAAAAATCAACAAAAGGCGGAGTAATAATGTACAAAATGTGTCAAGAATTTATCACAAAGATGTGAAAAAGCGGTTTGTTTCATCAAGACTAGAAGATCAGGTGGAGAAAAATGCAGTTTTCCATACCACGGGGGAAAAGCAAACAAACATTGGAAGCACTTGTTCACTGCAAAGAACTAAACTGCTATTGTTTAAGGGGGAAAAAGCAGCAGCTCTCAACATTTTAAACCCACAACACCGACCGTTTGGAGGGGAAACGGATGCCTGCCCAGGACACTGCGCTGTTGAAGAGGGGAATCGCATAATTACAGACGTGTCCTTCTTGTGTTTACATACAAGGGAATGAAGACAAGAGAGGGTGCGGTGAAAGAGTTGCCTGTTCTTTTGTTTTCTTGACACAGCAGGAGCCACAGAGCTCTAAATACCATTCACTTAATTTGACATCATTGTGAATGATGCAGGTGTTTGTCTCGCTGATCTCTGCTGCTCCTATTAGATTTGGGTTTACTTCAGTTTCCTTCTGCAGTCCAAAGACATGCATGTTAACGGGTGATGTCAGTGTGCGGGCAGTAGGTGTGACTATACCCTCCTGCAAACAGAGGAAAAAAGTATCTTCCAGTTTAACATTTTCACCCAAACACATGAGATATCATCGGAAAGGCCAGGATATCTTCTATTGAGCACATCATGACTTATTAAGTTAGCTTAAATAAGTAAAAAGATATAGACCAAAAACAAATGTCCATTACAGGAGACATAAATGAACAGGCTGGATCTCAGGAGGATATGACAGGTTAAGCGATTTGAAGTGCTTAGAGTAGGTGAATGTGGCTCGAGCCTTTATAAATACCAGGTTAGACTTGCACTTAGCTTATGAGCAAGTATTAGAAACAGTGTTAAATGAGACCTGCTTGTGTTTTTTATTATTTTCTGTCACTCATGTACTGTTACAGTGGTGGCTACTTATGTTAAACATGTCTCTGTTATGGTCATTTCAGGCACATAGCTCCAGCTATGGATAAAGAAGCTCAACCTTCTGTTTGCAAGGGGCAACCAATCAGAACAAAGTTGGGAGGATGGGTTAAAGGGAGAGGCGTTAGAACAGTGGATCAAGGGGCTGCACTAAGGCTCATTATAAAACATGTGAGGATTGCTTCAAGCTATGGGTTGCTGTCAGATTAAGTCCAAAATTAAAATATGATACTAGGTCCCCATTAATGACAGATTTTGGCTGACAAAAGACACCAAATATACATTTACTGTACTTTTACCTATTATCAAAATTTCTGACATTTCTCCACATGGTTCAAATGAACAGTTTAAAACCCCTGTCACGAATGCCTCCATGACAGCAGCTGACAACAGTGCTAGTCACAGATTATCAAATCCCTTTAAAATGTAAAATTTTCAAAGTTGCTGCTTTTCTTGCTCATTTCTCCAGGGATAAATGATAACTTCTGTAAGCCTGGTGGCAAGATTTTAAACCTTGTGTATTTTTTTTATTAAGAAGTTCAGGTGGAATATGAATAGGTCCATATGGAGAGATGAACCAAAAATGAATTATGATGCAAATGTCCAGCTTAACAGAACATTTTGGTGTCTTAAAAAAATTCAAGCTTGTTCCATCAGGCAGCTGTTCCAGTGGAAAACAACTCCAAAACTTAGCAGACAGACAAATATAGGTGAGAGGAGAGAAAGTGTTAAACTTTACTTTGGGTAGAGGCCAAAACAAAATGTTCCTCTCGATCATTTGGAGGAGTTGTTAAAATTTTGGTCTGCTCAAAAGGGCAGAATAGGTCAGATTGTTTTGTTCACCTGTCTTCTTATGACATATTGTTAAGGACTCATATACGGACCCTTCATTTAGGAAAATATTAACCATATAACATTCTTATTGTTTAGTATCTTGATTTCATGTTTAAAATACCGTACTGCAGAATTGCATTTGACCAACAGTGCATCTATGTGTTGCTGTAGAGCTATATTTGGTCTTTATTTAGCAGCTGTGTTGTTTTGCATGCGTTGGTCTTGACTCAATTTAACCTACAGCAACCTTTTTTCCTGCCTCTTAATTCAGCTGCTACATAATCAAAGGAAAGTTCCCCCCTCAGCTCTTTCAGCACAAATTCAATTCACGAACCTCATGGAACCATTTCTGGACACATGTGTCATACATTGTACATCTCCTGAGGGTGTTCCAGTTGTACATCTTCACCAACAAGTGCAGTGGAAGCAATGCAAAAACTGTTGAATGTTTAAATCAACAGCCGCAACTCTGCACAGTGTCCTTTGCTGTCCGGGGTTCAGAGATGAAATGAGAAATGTCTAACGCTCCAGGGCTGGAAACGCCTCAGAAAACTTTCCCGCAATGGCGCCTGTAGGTTAGAAATTACATACAGGCATCTGCACACTCTGAATTATGCCTCAGACAGTTCAATAGTAGGAGACCAGATCCACACTGACTCCTTCCCCCAAGGAAGGAAAACATGCAGCAGTATGTGTTTGTTTTTTATTTTCCTGTTCTCTTTCCTCCTTTTCTCTCCTTTCTAAAGAGTTTGAGCCTCTGGCTCTTACGCTCTTCCTCTCTTTCCTTCTCTTCTTTTCTCTAGCTAGGATGGAGGCTGATGGGACCTGACATGATGGTGCCATTGTCCTCACCGTCAGTTAATGTGACCCGCGGGGATGCTGTCCCCGTATGCTTGGCCTGATGGCGAAGAATGCAAAGCGCTTCATCTCAGAAAATTGGTGGGAGAAAAAGGGACAAGGAGAAAACAGCTGTGCATGGAGGTAGACTGAGAGCTGCAAAATAAAAGAGGTGTTTTTACAAGATAAACAGGAGGTAACTTGATGCACACAAAAGCTTGTGGGGCCTGAAAATTACCTGAACTTTTACCTCGACGATTGCACTGAATGGTTGATGATATCTATATAGATCACAATGAGAAAACTCTTAAACTAAGCCAGCTCCAATTGGCTCACCATCAAAAGAACTTATTTTTAATTCATTTGTACACCAGCCCAAGTTGGGTTTTTTTTAAACATGAACGCCAATGATTAACTCTCTTTTAAGAGCCAACCTCAAGTGGCCATTTGAGGAACTGCAGTTTCCAAAACTTCCTCATGGGCTTCATTATTAATGCTGCGTTCCATTTGCCTCAGATGTCAGAGTTATTAGAGATCTCCCGAGTAGAGCGCATCCCTGTAGTAAATTAAGAAAAGCTATAAAAGCAAAAGCAAGCAAGAGGCAGAGCTATTCGTGTATCATTAGCATTAGCATCATAATATAGATTTTATACATTTACATGCTCTGAAACCATCTTGGATTATGAAGTTGAGGTTGGTGATGCTATTCCATCTTTCTAAGGAGGAAATTTAACTTGGGTGGGTGAAAATTCCAATTACGAACTCCTAAATTCCAACTTTTTACTTCAAATGGAACACACCATTAGCCACAGAGATTTTATACATTTGTTTAATCCAGATAAATACTGAAGTGTAGATGAAAAACATCAGTTTGATAATTTCCCAGCAAGAAATTGTTGTTATTGCTAAACTAGGCTAACTGTCTGCGTTAGTGTGCTTCATACCTGTGCTTCTCAGGAGAAGGAGCAAGGTGCAGTAGCTAGCACTGTCACCTCAAAGTAAAACAGCTCTTGGGTTTCTTTTGATAACATTAATTTCAAAAAAGTTTTCAAACTATTATCATTTACAATGAGTTCCTTTAA